TGTTTGTGTTATGCCCCTGTCAGGTGGGTGTGGAAATTCGCTTGGCCTTTTGCAATTGCACCTACGAAAACTTGGCAACTGCCGGGGCATTTTGCAAAGTTGGGCAGTGTCCGGTACGGGTACATTGCAAAGATTGGGTCCAACTGATGGCTGGGGTGTTTCGCAAAATGTTTTTGTCATCGTCCTACGCTGCGGCGGGTCCACTTGTGTAAAATAATAATACAAACAACTTTTGCCTGGGAGGTATGTTCAAATCCGTAACCAAACTTGAGTTAAAAATCAAAAACCTATATATATTTTTTTGTTTTGTTTTTAGAATCATTGTCAAAAGAATATGTTCGGCGAACACATTTGGGAGGAGTTCGGCCAGACACCCGAACGCGTTCAGGCATTCGGGAAAGCCCTGAACATGTTCGGTGTGCTACACAGCTGTAAACTTGTGTAAAGCACAACTACTTGAGCAATGTGATCCCAAAGGGATTTGAACTCTCAACCTTGAACGTTGACAGTGCAAAGGGGATCTCGTGCACTGTTTGCTAAAGGCTGGATTGAATGCAGTTGATTTCCGTTGCCCAGCCTCAAACTAGCACATCTCAAAATTCTTTAATGTGAACGCACGTGGCATGGTGGATTTGTTTGTTGTTTATTTGCCTCACCCGAGCGCCCATGGAACTGTGACACATGGCACGCTTGAGTTTGTTGTTGTTGTTGATTCTGCTTACCCCAACACCATGGGAAATCCATGGCGTGCTTGAATTTCACCGCTCACAGGAACTTAGTCTCAGTGCTTGACCAGGAACTGAAATAGATACTTCAAAAAAACTTCAAAGCCTTCAATCTTGTTCGTATGTTACTTCCAGCAGTCCAACCTCCAAGGTTATGTAAGTTATAGAACCCTAACCGTAACCTAACCATAGCTCTTAACTGTAACCCTAACAATAACCCTAACTGTAACCCTAACTGTAACCCTATCCATAACCCTAACCCTTGACAATGACACACTGGCAGTGCATTGGAGTATCATTTGTGAAAGCTGCTTACGTAGGTCACAGTGTAACCGTAATTGTGACCCTAACTGCGACCCTAACCGTAACCCTACTCTTAGGTCGAATCGTAACCCTTACCCTAACCCTAACCCTAACCCTTGGCAAGGACATACTGGCAGTGCGCCAAAATATCATTTGTGAAAGCTGCACACAGCTCACAGAGACCCATATGATTGTGGCCTTAGCAAAGAGAAGGACATCCAGTTTTTTCTCAGTTAGTCATGTAATTGTGCCCTTAGGCGGCGCCCTTTTGCAGTTTTTCCCTCTGGTGATTAGTCAGTTACTGTCTCTTGTTGAACGCCTGTCTAAAACAGTATAATGTGGTTTTCTGGGTTATTTTGTTTTGGAAGAAAGATAAACTATTTGGAGCTGCAAGCGCCAGAATGGCTTCGTCGCGACAGAAGTACAATGCACAGGGACAGCCCCACAAGGATATTCCCTGGGAGTTACATGGGACATACTGTGCGGCAGGGCGATGCAGTTGCCAGTGCTAAACATGTGCAAGTGGTCTTGAAGGTTCGTGTCTGGCCAACCACCAGTTTTGGGCTGCCAGTTTGCTGGGCCTCTGTTTGCTGAGCCAGACTAAATACGATCCACTCAATTTCAGAGTGTTGCCAACTCTCTTTCGAAGGTACAGAAAGTAACAGAAGTCTTAAAGAACAAGATTTAAGCCACCAGTAAGTACCTTTCACAAGCAAAGGTTTCTGATGAGTTGTATACTACAGTTCACCCTCGATTTTTGGATGAACAGTGCTACCGGAAAGAGGCGTGGACCTCAATGGCTGATGGCAACAGGCAAGAAAAAGGAAAATTGTGCCTGCGCCTGTTCACTTTTCTGGGTGCACCGGGGAAATCCACCTCAGGAAAAAGAGGCTCGCGGCTTAAGAGGGGTGGGCGGAGAGAGAAAATGAGGAAGGAAAAGAGATCAAGGGGATTGAGTACAGAGCCAAGAACTTGCCTTCCCCTCCTGCTTTTCAGTTCTTGAACTCCGAATCATATTTTCATTTTTTTCTGAACCCAATAACACACTCCGGCCCCTTATATTCTGGGGGGCAACAGTCCTGTTACTCTTCACTGGCAAGCGTGAAAAGCAACTCGTGAAGAGGGAAGCAACTCTGCCAACGTACGAGACACCATAGGGAGTGAGAAGTTGTTACACTGTAGAGGGTGGCAGCCGGGCTTTCACTGGCTCCCCCCCCCCCCCCTGCCGGGAGACGCTCTGCATACCCAGACGCTCAGGGGGCGACCCAGCCATGATCGTCCTCCTTCTCTGCAATGTAACAATGCTCCCGCTGCTGAAAATCTGCCGCTTTGAGTGCAGCGGCCACATCAATTCCGAATCATATAAACAAAAAAAAGCTTGATGTCCGTTTGTTCAACGATCACCATCCTAGCTTGTACTGTAGGAAAACTCCACAATATCAGCCCCCTGATGTCTTGCCAGTCATCAGGACCTGGATCAGGACCAGAGTTAGGACCAGGATCAAGACCTGATCCTGGTCCAGATCAAAACTCATGGCGCAGAAAAGCTTGCGGTCAAGGCGTTCCACGATCGTCGTCGTAGCTCCTACTGCAGAGAACCTCTTCATAATAACAGGCCGCTGATCTATTGCCAGTCATCAGCACCGGGACCAGAATGAGGAGCAGGTTCAGGACCAGTGTCAAGACCAAGACCAGGACCAGGACCAGGATCAGGAGTATGATCAGGACCAGGATCAGGACCACAATCGGGACAAGGGTCAGGGCCAGGATCAGAAACAGGATCAGGAATGGGATCAGGATGCTGTTCAGGTTCCCCCAAGCCCAGAACGCAGCAGCACCAAATGAAGTCGAGTACCTCAGGATGCTGATCAGGCTCCCTCCACTCCAGAACGCAGCAGCACAAAATGAAGGTGGTCGGTCCTGGCCCACAGCTGGCCAAATCAGGCCCCAGGAAGTCATGCTCCAAGCCAGGGTACACAGTGCACCTCTTCACCAGCTGCACAGTCGAGTAACTTGCTTTGCAACTTCCCTCCTCCTACTTATATCACCTAGAGTAGTAGTAGTGGCTCGATGCCACTGTAGGTGTGGCTCTCTAGTCAGGGGCAAGCATGAACATCGCCGATAGCCAGCCTGATCCCCACTGCCGCCAGCCAACTCCGTTGTGATCAGCATGCCCCACCGTAACTTTCAAGTTCCGCTGTGACCACTGTAACTAACAAAGTCTACCATAGCCGCTCTAGCTAGCAAGCTCAACTTCATCCTGCTCTAGCTTCAGCATAGCCAACAACCTCCACTCCTTCACAAACCTTCAAGCACCACCTACCCTAGCCAGCAAGCTCTACTTCTTCATCAACCTCCAGCTCCTCAAGGTAATGGAGCAATATGAATCTTGGCAAAATGAAATGAGAGAGCTTTCACTGTCGGTGGCAAGACCTTTATCCCCTGGTCTGGAGGCAGCTATCCTTATTGCCTCCGCCCTCATCGTGCAGTCCTTCGGCAGGAAAAGTAGCAAACCTCAGTTCATCTGCATCTGCCCGTGTTTCCAGAAATATCCATCTCTAAGCTTTTCGAGCTTCTACCTGAGAACCTGCTCCCCCTGCTAGACTTGCTGGAAAAAAAAATGTTTGGCATCCAAAGTTCTACCTTTTTATCTAGAGCTAAACAAAGAAAAGTTGAAGATATCGCATATCATCGATTCCGGATTCTTCTTCCTAGGTAACCCAAATATCGTGTGGGTGCAGGAGGTACAAAGTACCAAGTCCTAGATTGGTGTTGCATGCACCCATCAGGACACTGTTAAGTGCACTGCGAGCACAGGGATTTTCGAAAGGAGACTTTGTAAGTTTATATACCCATGGCAAAACGTAGAAGAGTCTCAAGTTCACCTATCGTGGAGTGTACCTTTGTGTGTCCTCCGAGACACCCGTTAACATTGGAACGGTACAGAGAAGATTAGTGAAATGGCCCCTGCGCAAGGATGACACACCATAAATTGAGAAATGGTCCAAACGATTACCCCAAAAAAAAAACAATCACAGTTTGCTTTTGCACCGACCTGTGATTTGAGCCCTGTTGATTCTAGTTGGCTTTTTCCCTGGTAAATCCCTCTCCAAGATTCACATCAGAGCATGGCCACATCAAAGCCGATCACAAAAGTGCTAAAAAGAAAATTCCATACAAGGACAATGGACATAGATTGTTGCAAAAGCACGCACAAGACACAGAGAAACACGAACGCAGAAGAATACAGACAGGCTGATGAGGGTGGCACCGCCCTTATTTGTGTCGCTAATCAACGATTTAGCATCCATGAACATGTTAGCATCTTGCCATGCACATGTCTAGCATCTCTCTGTGTCTAGGGGTAGGGGAAGTCATTACAGTTTGGGTCACAGCCAAATTGGAGGTATGCCCATCAGGGTCGCCGTTAATGCCTGGCTGTCGTGACGCGGAAAGAGGGCTGGTGGCCTTGATTCTTTTTCCTTTTTTTTTGGGATCGTTTCTTTCTCGACACGCCTGGTAGCCAATTCATGTTGTGTGCATGTTTCAGCCTTGAACTGTGAAGCTTGAAGCTGGAAGTAGTACACCTGGCTGTGAACCAAATGATGCATACTGCTATGTAATAATCGAAGAAATTGAGTGCTTGAAAGTTGAAACCCCATCCTTTTTGGAAGAAAGGACGTCATAAATTACCCAGATTGTTTTCTCAGATGTGACAGAAGGTAAACAAACTGAGTTTTGTAAGGACCTGCCAAACACGGACTGAAACACAGCTGATTTCTGAGTTTTGCTAATGGAATGTATGCCTTGCTGAGTTTCCCGCTTATTGCTGAGTTTTCTAAGTCTGTGTGTGTGCGTGCTTGCTGGTCTGCGTGCCTGTCTGAGTGCTTGTCGGTTTGAGCGTGTGTGTGACCCGCAAGGGTTCTTGTTCGTTCAGGAGGCCCGAAGGGCCGGTATTTATTATTTACCTCTGGCCATGACATTGAGGGTTGCAGCGGGGAAAACACTCAAGTAGCAGGAAAGAGGCCTGCAACACTTAGAGCAGCGGAAAAACATTCAAGTAGCAGGTAGGCCAGTACCACACCAAGTAGCAGTAGATGTGTCGGGTGCTCAAGGCCGAGCAGAAGAAGACAAAAGTTGGCATTTTTAGAGGCCCGGTAGTTGTAGGCTAGGTCTAGGTGGGTGCCAGTCCAAGTAGTCTGAGTCTAGGGCCTGTACGGGCAGTATCCGAGTCTGCAATGATGTTTCCCTTCGAAAGGGAGGAGGTACCGGTTGCTTGGAGGCCGTGCGGCATGGAAGTCACCACCCAAGAGGCAAGCAGGCCGCTATATCTGCAGGAGAAGTGAAGTGCTCCTCCCCATTCTTCAGTGTGCAAGTTTGGCGACACACTGTAGGAGCGCTGGCTGGAGCAGCGCTGGGTGAAGCAGCGCTGCTGAGGAAGGAGCGCCCAGCTCCCCACCTTGGGTATGGGTGGAGGACCTCGGGCTGAGGGAGGAGAAAGACGAGGACTAGGAAAGGGGAGAGCCAGAGGTACTTACCTAGCTATGGTGAACGCCATCTTCATCACCTTGGTGGACGCCGCATCTGGAAGGCCCCGCTGGGGTAGAGCTGCACCAAGAAGCTTCGAGGCAGAGTCAGGCATGGCGGCCTGAACAGGAGCAGCCATAGCTGGTTTGTGTTGTCCTTTGCACAGCAGGGCAAGTCCCCGGTAGTCCGCCTTAGCCTCGGCTTTTGAGGAGGAAGGAGAAGGCTGGCCATGGCTATGGTGGACCTCATGCTGTGCCAAGCAGTAGAAGAGGGATTCGGACATTGATTCTGGTTCAGCTATTCGTCATTATTATTATTATTATTTGTTTGAATAAGAGGGGAGGAGAAAAGGAGGAGGAGATTGGTTGGCGAGAAGGAGGGGAATTATCATTGGTCTTTGCTGTGTACATCTTCTTCTTCTTCTTCTTCTTTCCCTCTCTCTCCTCTCAAGTTCATTCATTTCTTTTTGCAATTGGACCAGTGTTGCACACCCCGACCGTTGGCAACCCTTGAACGGTCGGCTGCCGACCCGCCGACCGGTCGGCTGGTCGGCACCTACCGGTCGGAGGTCATCGGTACCCTGCAAAAAAAAAAAAAGGTCCAGAACCCCTAATAACCCCACCAACACCCCATACCCGTCCCAAATACCCCCATACACCCCCCCAACACCCCCATCTAGATCTCTTATACACATCTAGATGTGTATAAGAGACAGACCTTTGTGTGTCCTCCGAGACACCCGTTAACATTGGAACGGTACAGAGAAGATTAGTGAAATGGCCCCTGCGCAAGGATGACACACCATAAATTNACCAATACCCCCTATACCACCCCTATGCTCTCCCCCCCATCCCCACAAGTTTCTCAGCGGATTTGGGCTGTACTCAGCAAGCGCAGTACAGCTTCCAACTCGGGTCTGAAAAAAAATCAGTGGATGGCTGTTTTCTGACTGGTCGGCAGACCGCCGACCGGTCGGCCCTACTGGTCCTCTTGCAAAACATTCGGCAGTCGGGGTCGACGGTACGCAGGTATGCAACCTGAATTGGACGGCATTGTGCTTTCTCATGAATTTGTACTTCGCAATTGGCCAGAATCATAACACTTTTAACATTTTGAAGGGATACTTACACTGGCACTTTGCTAAATGAATATGACTGCAATTATGGCCGGACCTGGACGAATCTGCTGGCAATCACTTCCAGAGCTTAGTAGGAAAGTCTTAGTGTGAGTATGCCCTGAGACTCGTTGCCCACATTGTTTTCTTATATGTAACAGAAGGTCAACAAACAAACTTTAACAGTTGCAGACTCTTTGGAGCTGGAAGGCTCACCACTTTCAGGGTCACATTTTTTTACCCTAACCACCAGTATGGCCCCCCTTCTCCAAAGAATGAGGCCGTATTCCAGCAGGCCGTAGAAGCGGCTGGCCTACTGGAACCAAGGAGGGGTACTGCAGGGGGTGCACAACTTTTTTATTTTTATATTTTTAACAAAAAACGTGGCATTGGGGCCGGGGATCCTTGTCCATTCCGGGAGAGTCAGTCCAGTTTGCATTCCACCGGCAAGTCAAAAATACAACTTACAACACACTCAAACCGCTTCCCGCCACCGACAAGCCATAAATAGTGGGCGGCATCATCTAACTAAAATTGGATTGACTGGAACTGGTAAACTCATTGTTGTAGGTTCAAATCCTACATTCCATAAATGAAGCCATAATAAAAAAACAGAGTTTGATCCTGGCTCAGAATGAACGCTAGCGATATGCTTAACACATGCAAGTCGAATTTTGTTTTCTCAGTTGAAAGCAAAGTGGCCAATGGGTGCGTAATGCGTGGGAATCCCAGTTCCAGTCTGGAAGGATGTACCTCCCCTTCCCCCTGCCTAATTTAGCCTGTTGTTACTACCTTGCTGATCCCTGTGTCCTACTCTCCTTGTCCGATCCTTAGGACGTTTCTTACCCCCAATTTGAGTACCCCGACTTTGGCGATTCGTAATTCTCGTTTCTTCGAGGAATTAGGCCCTTGGCAATGCTGGCAAAGGGCCCTACCCGACCTAAGTGAAGGTGGGCGCCCAAAAATACAATGGGGCCTCAGAAAACGGCCATTGTGAG